CAGAGCCGCTGCCACAAACACCCCAGGGCTCCAGGCAGACACAGAAGGAGCAGGACACAGGCTCCTGCGCTCACGGCCAGCCCTGACCTGCTTGTATTTAACCACTTTGTGGTTAAACCCTGATTTCCCCTGTTCTTGTTTGTCACTTTTATTAGCATTTCTGCTCCTTTATTTCTCACTGCAGCCTCGTCTCACACCCACGGACACACGTGTCAGTGAGATCCCTCTGTGCCTGGAGCTGATCATCCTGGGGCTGCGCCTCAACCTGCCACCGCGTCCCCGTCGCCCCCGGGGCCCAGGCGTTGAGGGCAGGGGTGCCATAAAGCCTTTGACATCACTCCAGTGTCACCTACCCGTGTCCCCAAGCACCGCAATAACTGGGAGAGCGTTGAGGGCAGGGGTGCCATAAAGCCTTTAACATCACTCCAGTGTCACCCACCCGTGTCCCCAAGCACGGCAATAACTTGGGAGTGTTTTCCCACTCTTCCAAGCAACCTGAGTGACTTCCATCACTCCCCTCCCTGTCTTCCCACAGCTGGATTCCAGCTGTAGGTCACACCTGGATTGTGTGGGTGTGCAGCCCGGGGCTGCTCCCCTCCAGGCACCCAGCTGGGTTCCCCTGTGTCTCGGAAGCTCTTGGTGCTGGCTGGGACCGAGCACAACTCAGTGCATTGGTGCTGAGCAGCGGAGCCTGCGCAGGGCTGGGGCTGTGGCAGCGTGGGGGTTCCTCAGAGGGAGCACTGAACGTCCCTGTACCCCCCGAGGTTCCCGTGGATCGGGGTGAAATCAGGGTTTGTCTCCGTGTCAGCCCCCAGAGGGATGGTCCCGGCTGCGGTCCCAGCAGAGGGGACGGAGGCAGGATGGCCACGGTGTCACCCCGACCAGGGCCAGGGCACCCACCAGCTCCACAGAGCCAGGCACTGACACCGCTCCTGGCCCTTTCTCTGGAGAGGGGACTTTTTTTTTTTAACAAAAAAACCCAACCAAACAAACCAAAAAACCCAAAACCAACCGAACAAAAAAAAATCTCAACCCCAAACATTTTTAAGGAGAAACAGGGATTAGGAATACTGTAAGTGGTGGAGACAAAGCACCAAAAATAGCATCCAAAGTTTCCTCGGCGCTGTGTCCCTGCAGGCAGCCTGCACTATATTTGTCTCCACTTGCCATTTCTGCTGCAATCAATTTGCAGTTGCCGCTGGCGAGGAACCCATCTATTAAAAGCTCGACTGAGATCTGCGGCGAAGATGTCTGTAACAAAAAAATCTGGCCATTCGTTTAAAAATAAATAAATAATAGCATCCTTCTCTGCAGATCCTCCCAGCCCCAACAAAATCCACTCAAATCCTCACCGGCCGCGCTGTCTGGGCTCGGGAGCAGCCGTGGAGCCCCCGGCGCGGTTCCCTTCACCTGGGGAGGGATTTGCTCCGCGGCCGCTCCGAGCCCTGGCAGCACTTGGCGTTCGCTGCGTCGGGGCCTTATCTCTGCGATTTGCTGCAGGCTGCCCAGGGGAGGCAGATTCCTCCCGGGTCAATTGCTTTTATCATAAAAACAAATGTTTTCTATCATCCCTTTCATCCTGGGATGAAAGCACAGATGGGAATCACGCGACTCCCCGCGCTGCCTTGGTGGGCCAGGCAGCCGGGTGCGCGCTCTCCCCCCGGAGAAACGGGGCAGGGGGACAGGGAAGGCAAATGGGAGCCTGGAGCAGCCCCTGCCTCTGCCTCAAAAATGGGGTGCCCCATGGGATGCCTAAAAAATAACCCCATGGTGGTCTCCAGAGGCAGCTCTGCCCCAAAGCATCATGGTGGGGGCTGCTGCCCTCCCAGTTCCTGCCAGACCCCGGCTGTGGCCGTTGGAGCCCCCGCAGGAGGGGGGACACGGAGGGGGGCAGGAGGGGGGAC